GAAAGTCTTGAAAACACAATTAACCAACTGATCTGACATTTGTAGATCACACCACTCAACAGCAGAGTACATATTCTTTCTGAGTGCACATGGGATATTTACCACGATAGACCATAGTCTGGGCCATTAAAATAGCCTCAATATATTTCAAAGCTTGGAGATTATACAAAGTATGTTCTCTAACAAATACAAAATTAAACTAGAAACGAATAGCAAAAAAAAAAATCTGGAAAATATCCTGATGATTAGAAGTTAAACACCATACTTCTGAATAAAAAATTGGCCAAAGAAGAAATCAAATGGAAATTAGAGAATAGTTTGAAATGAATGAAAATAAAAATACGTAATATCAAAATATACGGTATGCAGCGAGGCAGTATACTTAAAGGGAAATTTATAGCTTTAAGTGCTTATATCTAAGCTTTCACCATAAGAAACTAGGGAAAAAAGAAGAAAAAGTAAACCTAAGTACACAAAAGAAAGGTAATAAAGAGAAGAAATCAACCATATAGAAAACAGAAAAAATAGAAAAACTAAAGAGTACTCAAAGCTGTTTTTTGGAAAAGATTAATAAAATTGATGAAGAACGAAGACAAAGGACAAAACAACCAATACCAGGAACAGAGGCGAGACCATCACTACAGATATTACAAGGATAATAGAAAATATTTTGAACAGCTTTCTATCAATAAATTTGACAACGCACATGAAACAAATAAATGCTTGAAAGACACAAATTATCACAGTTCACTGAAGATGCAGCTGGCAATCTGAATAGTCCTATGTTGACATAAAAAATCTAATTAATAGTTTAAAACCTCCACATATAGAAAATTCAAAGCCCAAATGTTTTCACTGGTGAATTCTAGCAGACATTTAAGGAAAACATAATACTGATTCTACACAAACTCATAAAACAAATAGAAGAAGAGGAGGAATAATTTCCCAAATTATTTCTCAGAGCAGCACTACTCTGAAATAAAAACCAAGCAAAGATATTTGCCAGAAAAGAAAACCACAATTTCCCCCATGAACACAGCTTCAGAAATCTTCCACACAATATTAGCAAATCACATCTAGCAATATATGAAAGGGCTGACACAACATGGCCAAATAGAGTTTATCCCAGGAATGCAAGTTTGATTTAACGTTTAAAAATCAAACAATGTAATTTACCATATTGACAGATTTAAAAAAGCTAAACAACCTAATCATCTCTCAATAATGTAGAAAAAGCAACTGAGAAAATGCAACATTCATTATAACATTCAACATCTATTATAAAAACTCTGAGGAAACTGGAAATAGATAAGAACATCTTCAACCTGATTAAAGGCGTCTACCAAAAAAATGCACCACTAATATCACACTGAATAGTGAAGAGTGAATGCCTTCTTCATAAGATCGGGAAAAGGTGAGGTGTCCACTCTCATGACTTCTACACGGCATCATACTGGCAGTAATTGGATATAAAAAGAAGCAAAAAGCATCCAGTTAGGAAAGGAAGGAGAAAACTCTCCACAGGGGAGAAGAGTGATTATGTAGAAACTTCTAAGGAATCTACCAAAAAATACCCACAATTAATGTAATTTAGCAAGGTTGCGGAGCATAAGGTCAGGGTACCAAAGTCTGTTATATTTCTGTAAGCAATAAACAACTGGATGTTGAAATTAAGATATACATGTGTATTTTATTTATATATATATGTATAAAATATCAATAATAATAAATACTTAGGGATAACTTTAACAAAATACGGACAAGATCTGCGTGCTGTAAACTACAGAACATGGCCAAGAGAAATTAAACATTGTTTTTGGAGAAAACCCTCCTTTCAAGGAGCTTACATTCTAATGAAGGAGACAGGAAATAAATAAATGTAAAATATATTTTATTTTAGATAATTATTATTCTAGGGAAATAAGGAAAGAGAGTTATAAAAAATTAGAGGCCAGCCTGTTCAAGTTTGTAGATATAATGGCTATTCAAGGACATGGAAGTCCTCACACAAAAGGTGACTTATGAGGAAAAAGATGAAAGAAGTGAAAATCTAGAGTTTCAGGCAGAGAGAAGAGCAAACACAGCGTCCTTGAGACAGCAGTGCCTGGCTTGCTCTGAGAAGGTGTGGACACTGGTGAGATGGGAGAGAGAGCTGATGGGGACCCTGGCCAGGCAGGGCTACTGCTCAGCCAGAACTTTGACTTATACTGTGAGTGTGATGGGAGGCCATGTGGGTGGGCTTCAAGCAAGGTGCAGTATCATGATTTACATATTTAAAAGCTGGCCCTGGCCCCTGTGGCTAGCACAGACTGCAGTGGGGCAAAGACAGAACCTGGAGATGCAGCTGGAAGGTCACTGCAATAGCCCAAGAAAATAAGGCCCATGCCTTAGACTGGTGTGGTGGCAGCAGGGAAGGAAGGGTTCTGAGTGTCCTTTGGTGGTTAACCAGCAGTGTTCTCTGATCAACTGGATCTCAGGTGTGTAAGACAGAGAGAAAGAGAAAAGATGGCTAAGAGTTTAGCCAGAGCAGCTGAGTGAATGGGGTTGCTACATCTGAGATGAGCAAGGAGCTGCCAGGAGCTGCAGGGGGAGGGGATAGGATGTGAGGGGCTTGGTTTTATGCACATTGACATGAGGTGCCCATTTGATATCCAAGTGGAGAGATGTCAGGGAGGCAGTTAGATAGACGAGTCTGAAGGTCGAGGTCAAGTCCAGACCAGGTTGGGAGATCTGGACAGAGACTTGACTGTCGGAATCCTCAGCAGGTACGTGGATTTTTAGCTACCAGGCTGGATGATATCACCTGGGAGGTGATTCCTTATGGAAGAGTAAAGAGGTCCAAATAATGAGTGTTGGATATTCCAGGATTCAGAGGTCAGAGGAACCAAGGGAACCTGCAAAGGGGCATGAAAACAAGCGGCAAGGGAAGTAAGAGAGAAACCAGGAGTACCCTGGCCGCCAAGTGAAGATGGGTTTTGGGAGGAGACAGTGGTCAGTAGCACCAAGTACAGTGAGAGCTGGGGAATTAACATGACATTTAGCGACTGAGCCTCTGGTAACCTTGAGAAGAGTGGTCTTGGTCAAGATGGGGTGAAAACATGATAGGAGCGAGCTTAAGAGAGAATGGGAGAAAACTCAGCGTAGGAAATACTTTCAAGGAGATATGGATAGACAGTTCTCTGAAGATAAAATCCACATTGCCTAAAACATCTCCAGTGGGGATCGAATGTAAGCAGTGAAATAAACTAAGCTATCAGTGAGGCACCACTTCACACCCATCAGAGGGTCAAAATGGAAGAAAATACAGTGACTTCTTGCTGCCAAGGAAGGGAAGAATGGGTGCATTCCTACGTCCGTAGTGAGAATGTTCATTTCAAGAACAATTTTGAAAAGGAATTTGGCAATATCTATTTAAAGTTTTAAAAAACTTATACATCATTAATTCTCCCCTTAGAAATCTACCCTGTAAAATAATTAAGTCATACACACACCAGTAAAGATATATGGATGAGGACCCTTATTGCAACATTGTGTGTAATAACAGCAGACTGGAAACACCTCACAGTTGACCCTCATCATTCACGGCTTCCATATTTGCAGATTCACCTTGTGCTAAAGTTTATTTGTGACCCCCAAGTTAATACTCAGGGTGCTTCTGCAGTCATTCTTGGACACGTGCATGGTGGCAGAATATTGAAGTCCATTGTCTTCAGGTGTCAAACCTCATACTATAAACAAGTGTTCTTTTTGTGGTCTATGTAGTGCCAAGTTTTTTCACATTTTTGTGCTTTTTATTGGTGATTATGCTGTTTAAAATGGCTCCCAAGAATAACGCTGAAGGCCTATCTTGTGTTCCTAAGTTCAAGAAGGCTGTGATGTTGTTTTTCTTACAGAGAAAAGACGTGTTAATGAGCTTCATTCAGGCACAGGCTACAGTGTTGTTAGCCATGAGTTCTGTGTTGATGAAAGCAATATATACTCAGTAAGATGTCTTCAAACAGAAACACACCTAAGACAAGGTTATGTACTGACTGGTTGACAAAAACACTGTGACCAGAGGCTCACAGGAACCTAACTCTGCATTCCCCTAGGAACAGGATTTGTGGAGACTTTCTAGAATGTAACTGCCATGAATAACAAGAACCTCTGTAGCTACCCTTTAGTAAGGACTGAGTGAATGAAGATATAGCCACACCACAGAATAGTATGCAAGCTTTAAAGAGCCTAATTCAGGCTAAACCTTAAGTTATTGTTACGTGGGAAAACTAAGGTGAGTGTTGTGTAAGGTGACGTCATTTTCAGCTGCGGCTATACATCTAATGCTTGCGTGTGGTCCTATGATCATTTGTAGAGTGATACACGCCAAGTTGACAATATACGGCTTTTTCTAGTGGGTATGAGGGTCTGTACAGCAGTGGGAGTGCATCAGAGAAGACGGGCAAGTTGAAGGGAAACACAGCATTTTCGATGATTTCATTTATGTAAAATTCCCTGTGTGCCCTGAAGAAATTTGAAAGAAAAAATGATAGCCCTCTATACACTGACTTGTGGGTCAGAATCCATGAAGGTGAAGAGGCACGTTGCCAAATCATGTGTGGAATGTGATTCTATTTTAGGAACAGATCTGCTTAATATAAGCTGCTAAGTATAAGAATGAGCAAAAGAAAGTGTGTTTAAAGATACAGAGAGATTGGGAGTCTTGTGTGAAAAGGTTATTTGTTTTTATGTTTATTTCTACTGATTTGTTTCAGCAGATACAATATGTTTTGTTGAAATTTGAAAAAACTACAAATAAAATGTAAAATAGCATTAATTAACAACACTATTCGGTTAACAAAAAATGGCTATAGCCATTTTTAATAGACTTCAGCGAGTTGGCTCCGTACTAATTTTATTAGCAAATTTTGAAAATGGCACCACAGGCACAGTTTCACTACAAGGTTTTGAGTTATGTTATACGTAATACTTTAAAATTCTTTGTTCTTTGTTTTTTCTTTTAGGAATCGTTAAGAGCTGTCAGATACGAAATATCTCCAGATAGAGAGTACGCTCTTTTTTCATATAACGTGGAACCAGTGAGTACTACTCTTTTCTATTTATAAAAAAAAATGTTTCTTTAGGCTAATACCTTATTAAGTATTTTTCCTTGAATCTCTATTCTTAGTGATCTTTGAATCCTGTAGTAGTTGGTGAGTCCTGGGTTAGTCTCTTTTTATGCCACACTGCCACCTAGGAGAGAGGAAAGGTATGAAAGTCTTTGTGGCAGAGAAAAAAAAATCCCTACTTTTAGGGCCTAGTTCATAGGATTTTCTTGGTGAGATGGTAAGAAGTTGTCTTTTTATAGATTTATTTTACCCTTTCGTGCAATTATTTTCCTTGCCATTTTTCTCAGTCACGCCATACATTCTATCCTAAGAACAAAAAGTGAATGCCAGGTTCTCCCTAAATTAAAATCAGCTGTTATTGATCTCCTAGCCATCACAGTATTCTAGAGAAGACTTGAACTATCACTTTCATTATATAAACCCCTGTTTTAAGCACTTTCTATGTGAGTCTCCCATAAAATTTCACCAGAATCTTGTATAAAATCTCACCCTGGTCTTTAGTGGCAGCCTAAAACTCAGACTTTTTTTGTTAACATACTAATATTTTAGAATTCATTTTGGCTCTTTAAATGAGCAAGAAGGTGAAGTGTATTTGTGTAAGTGAAACATGTTCAGCTTGTAAGAGATATTAGCAGCTTTCGAAATGTGCATCAGTGGAACTTGATTCTCTGGCAAATAAAATGTAGAATTCCACTGCCTTTCTAGCTCTCTTGAGACGGTTCTAATTAGAGTTTGGTGAAGCTTCTGTGAGACGTGATGGTACCTGCGTCATCATTCAGGGCTGAGTAGCTCCTTGGTGAGTTTGAGAGAATCTTCTTCCCCTGGCATGAGACAGCCCAGTTTGTTAAGTTACATGCCAACGAGGAAGCTGGGGTTTGCATAGAGATGCAACTCTAATTCTAGAAATTTTAGAATTTCTTCTAAAAGTTACTTGTTGACAACTGGATTATTTCTTGGAGATTTCAGTCTCAATTAAAATTTCAATTGGAGAGCTATTCCTCCAAAAGTAGATCTTTTTTTAATTCTCTATCTTAAATTTTCCATTTACTAGTTTTTTTAATGTCCGTTATGTAAAAGTTTTCTTTTTATCCATCTGAATCCTTTGGAACAACTGGTCAGCTTTATCTGTTTGATCAGGGAAGTCAGTTAACTTAATTACTAAAAACCAAGTTTTAGCCTTGGGACTCTGCACATCCTACACTCAGCCCTACATACCTCTAAGTGTGATGTCCATGGCTCAGAGTATTCCAGCTCCTTTCACCACCCATGGAAGCTAGCAAAAATGTAACCTCCCCCCGTGAATAAGAGAAAAATCCCAGTAGATATTTGAAGGACTTTCAGGAATGGGGTAATGCATTTGTTCTGGGTTGCTCCAGGGAGACAAAACCAACACCTGAGTGAGAAAAGCATAAAAAGATAGATTTCGGGTCATCTTACCAGAGAATCTTTTAATGATGAGAGGATCCCAACAGTGGGATGAGTTACCTTGTTTGGTAATGAGCTTCCTGCTCCTCAAGACTTGAAAACAAAGTTTTATATTTGTTCAGAATCTTTTAGAAGAGATTCTCCTATCTGCTCATTTGGAATACGTTGATCTAACCTAGGACCCTATGTTCTGTCCATCGTAGAATTCTCTACCATCCTTCTCCTTTCTCCCAATGCTCCTCTGGAAACTGTGCCCTGGGATCCCATTGCCACCGATAACCATTTAAGGAAAGAACATTTTGCTAAATCTGAGTCTTTACCATGCAGAACACTGGCTGTAAACAAGAACCTTGACTAACCCTTTCTCCCTGTGCACCGTCCCTTGGCCTTTGCGGTAGAACTGTGATCAGTTTGTTTTCTCAACTGAGGGAAAATGTAAAAAATTTGGAGTGGATTCAGCTATATTTTAAACTATAAAAATGATTAAAGTATTGAAAAGTGTGTGCTATGTAAAAAAATCTATAGAAATGGATACTTTTAATGTGAATCAAAGAAGTAACCCTTGGGCTTCCCTGGTGGTGCAGTGGTTGAGAGTCCGCCTGCCGATGCCGGGGACACGGGTTCGTGCCCCGGTCCGGGAGGATCGCACATGCCACGGAGCGGCTGGGCCCGTGAGCCATGGCCGCTGAGCCTGCGCGTCTGGAGCCTGTGCCCCACAGCGGGAGAGGCCACAACAGTGAGAGGCCCACGTACCACAAAAAAAAAAAAAAAAAAAAGAGTAGCCCCTTAATTGACCTCTGTGCTTCTCCTCGGGCCCCTCTCCAGCCGGTCTCCCCAGTGTGGCCAGATAACCTTAAGACATCCGTACATAGGATCACGTGGGTCTCTGTCCCCCTGGCTCTCACCGGAGACTGGTGGCCTGCTCCAATTCACGGAGGCCCCAGGCTGCACCCCACACACGCCTCTGCCTGCTCTTCGCAGCCATGTCGCCTCCTCTGTGGTTCCACCATGCCACGCCCCTCCTGACCTCAGGACCTTTGAACTCACTGTGCCCCCTCCCACCCTCTCTGGAGCCTTCTGACCACAGGAAAGGGACACTTCCCGGTGGGGGAAGAAGCTTGTTTGTCTGCAGGCAAAGTGGCGGCAGGATCATTGAGTTTCTTTTGATGCATCCTTTTATTTTTCCCAGTAATGTGTAAGTGCCATGACAGAGGAGTGGGGGGTCTGTAGAGCCAAAAAGGACGAGCTGGCGTCTCAGCCCGCTGGAAAAAGGCCTCGCCTTTAACAGCTGGGGGATTAGCAGGCTTGTGGGGTTTGTACCGATGAGGATGCCGTGAAGGCAGACCGCCAGGTACGTGCTTTTCTCCAGGAGCACTTACCTGCCCAATCCTCAGTCCCCTGGTGTCATCTGGGGTTGGAATTTATCAGGTGAGTGAAATTGGGAGTTAAGGGTGTTTTCAAAGGAGTGATTATCATGATGGACCATGGAAACTCACCTGCTCATGGAGAGAAGTAAAGCCAGGAGGGGCCGTAGGTGGAAAGCGGGGGGGGGGGGGGTCTTTGGTCAGGTCAGAAACCTGGAGGGGAGGAAGGGTGAGCAAAGGCAGCAGAAGGATCAAGTGTGGTTATCAGAAAGTGCGTGTGAGATGCTGCAGGCCGTGCCTCGTGATGACAAGGTCAATGGAAGAAAGAAATACAGGTGAGGGGTCGGTGCTAACGGTATAGGACACACGTACTGGAAGTTGGGGGGTGTGACCTGGGAGAGGAGGGAGGATTTAGGGATGGGCGGGGGAAGGACATTTCTCCTACATCTTCCAGCCCTTGGTACATGGAAAGGTGGGGGTGAGATGAAAGAGATGCTCCATTGAAGAGAGGGCGCTGTGACCCGCCGAGAGCCTGGAGTCAGCGAAGGCACGGGGGCGGAAGGGACAGCATTCAGGAAGAGACCACTAGTCAAAGGGCGGGTGTCTCAGAGGACATGGTGGAGGGTTTGAGAAGCACAGGATGGTCCTGGCAGCGGATGCTGAGCATGTGTGAAGAGAAGGTACTGAGGAGGTGGCTGCTGCAGCGTCTGGGTGGCAGCGATGATGTTGTACTGGTCATTCCCAAAGACCGCCAGCTGGAGGAGGGTCTCTGAGCAGTCCCAATTAACCAGTGGAATTGTGTAATGAGTAATAAAAGAAAGGAAGAAATGGAAATAAGAAGAGTGGGTTTTCGGAGGGGGGGAGGTAGGAAAGAGAGCACACTTAATTGCTTTTATTATGAATGGCCATCATTGTAATGTGGTGAGGGGAAAAAGAATGACTCAAATTCTTGGGAAAGATCTGTTCTTCATTCCAGTTTAGCAGTCCGTTATTGTGGGTGAGCTCGTTAACAACAATTATAGGCAGAGACTCAGACCCGAGCTGCTGGGCCTTCCAAACAACAATTAGGGCTCAGAGACTCTTACGGGGCTCATTCTCTCTCCTTGGTGTTTAGAGCATTTTTATGTTACTTAAAACTTGTAGGAATTAATCATTGTTGTAAGTTAGGACCAATTCCATTTGTGATTTTCAGCTCCAACTGCCGTCAAAGAAAATGATTTAACAGAATGCTATGAAGATTCCATTCAGAGTATTACCAATAGCACACACATCGCCATTTTAGTTCAGGGGTAAAATGAGACAACCCATTTCTAGAAGCAGGTTAGGACACGCTTTTGCTTTTTCTCTAGGCAGCTAAACTTATTATTTTTATAGTAACAGGTAGGCTTTCTTGAATGTCATTTTCAAGAGTTTGTTGGGTTCCCACTTCTTTCTTCGTGTTTCCCACAGTAAGTAAGCTGTGTAATTGGAAAAACCCCGTGATACACTCTGTGCCCGATACAGCAAGTGCCTTGGGAATTTGGAATTTTATTAAACAATAGGATTTAATTTTCTGTAGTCTTTTTCCATCTTACTGGGTTTCTTTACTCCTGAGTGTTATTGTAGCAAAAAGCCTGAAAGCAAGAGAGGAAGTCTTCAGTGTTGCTCTGTTGTGTGATAACGCACACGACTATCCAGACTTGGCGGGTTTTACTGAGGCACCTGCTCTGGTGGGACTTCCAGCCAAGCCAGTAACCACAGCTTTTGAATCTGTAGAAATTAATGAGCAGAAGCGGAGCGTTGCTTGAAGCATTCCTAGATTGGGTGCTACCCTGGGCCTTTCGGTGACTTGCCTCCACTGGATGGTGGCGCCAGCTTAACAGACGAAGTGTTGGTGTTTGCAGGATCTGTGTGTTATGTGTGTGCGCTCGTGTGTACATGCGTGTGAAGGGGTAGTAAATAATTTCCACTAAAGCTGAGAGAGGAGGGGGGGAGTGTACAGTGTTATTCTTCCAACAGCACCGCCATCTGTTGTATAATTAAGAAGTTATAAACTGGAAAGCTAGTCCTTTTAAGCGGAAGGAGAGTGAGCTAGTCTCACCAGTCCGTAATCCAGCTTCTACCTGACCTACGCACCACAGCTTTGAGAGGTTCTGAAATTTTTTTGGCTTCCAAGAAGCTACCAAAGATAATTAATCATCA